CAACTGCTTCACGGTTGAAACACGAATGGGACAGAGGTACGCAAGCGATCGACTTTTGTACAAAGTCTCCCTCTGATCTGGTGAACCCTCCAAAGGGAAAACTTATGTTCAGCAGTCGATAGTTAAATGCTTATATAATATTGATAAGTACTAACTACATTTTTATTAGAATCACAATAATTATAAGTACACGGGGCGGCGAATTTCGACCATTGTCGCTTGCGCAAACGTTTCTTTGAATTTTAATGACAAATTATCGATACATTCTTTACGTGGTACAGCGTATCGCTTGCAGTTTATTGGTACACAACATTAGTTCCGAGATTGCAACTCTTTAAGTAATAAGAAACAGTTTGAACTTAACATGTGATGAGTCAGTAGTTGCGACAGTTTACTCAGAAGTAAACGGTCGTGTGAGGTTTATGTTTAACCCAGTTACTTGTTTAATAAATCAATTTATTTATTGCTATTTTCTACAATTTTATTAATTAATAAAGTATAGTGTAGATCAGCCTATCCCAAAGTGGGCGATAACGCCCCCTTGTGGGCGCTGCAGGCCTAAAGGGAGTTACCGCCTGACAAGCGTGGCTACTACTGGCACAACCCCCCATGGGGGAGGCTTATGTTCAGCAGTGGACAGTTAAAGGCTGATATGGTAATGATAAATGAAGACTATTACTCAATTAGGTTTTGATAAAACTTCTATGAAACTAATGTATATATGCGTGTGTGTGTATGCGTGTGTGTGCGTGCGTGTGCATGTGCGTGTGCGTGCGTGCGTGCGTGTGCGTGTGTGTGTGTGTGTGCGTGCATGCGTGCGTGCGTGCGTGCGTGCGTGCGTGCGTGCGTGTGTGTGTGTGTGTGTGTGTGTGTGTGTGTGGTTGTGTGTGTGTGTGTGTGTGTGTGTGTGTGTGTGTGTGTGTGTGTGCCCTTTCAGATAAAAAAATATTTTTTTTATCTGATAGGGCACACTGGCAATAAATTACAAGTGACGGAGTTATGGAGTAACATAAAAAGAATTAAAAAAATAATCTCTCTCTTTTTAAAGTCGATTAAAAATACCGCGTAAGTCAAATTAAATAAGATTTCATACATTATTTACCTTCGTATCGTATACATTACTTTACTATAACAGAAGTTAAAAATATATATTGTATGTTTATTTTTATTAAGTATCAAATCGGTTTGTTATAAAAACGACTTGCGGTAAATAACAATTCGCCCCTTATTCGCATTCGAAAATTATTATCAAATAATTTTCCGGTTAATTTTCATAGATCTAAATTTCCTAGTAAACAGGTAGGTAAGTACGTACCAACATAATGCAATATCCAAACAATACGATATATTATCTAACGATGATTAATGCTTCTTTGTTTATTACGTTTGTAGTCAAAACTGAAACCTTATTTATGTACTAAAACATATATATTTATTTCCTCCAAAAGATTACAATAGTAAACTTATTGTAAATATAAATATTTACAAGAAATAATCGCAATGAGAAAACAATACAGTACGTAATGTATTACAAAGATCTGAGTGATAAAGAAAGATGACTAGCTCCTCCATCATACTCGGGAACGCTATTTGAAAGTGGCTAGTCTAGTCACTTCGACTGATTTATTTTATCCCTTAACTCTAACTGTGTGTATGTATATTTTTTTGTATGCAACTTAGAATGGCAAACACGCTGACGGCCCACCTGATGGAAAGTGGTAACCGTCGCCTATAGACACGAGCAGTACCATGGACATAACAAAGTATACTCTTTCGCCCATGATACCCCCCATGCGTTGCCATTCCTGAGGACACAGGTGTTATTCCTCTGTACCCTGTAAATTCACTGCCATAATCCAAAAATGCAAAAGAATATAAGTACAGTGTTATGTTCATGGTATCGCTATATCGTATAGACATGAGCAACATGTAACAGTATACTCTGTTATGTCCATAGTACTGCTCGTGTCTATAGGCGACGGTTACCACTTACCATCAGGTGGGCCGTCAGCTTGTTTGCCATTCTGAGTTGCATAAAACAAAACTTAAGACACATTTAAGAATTAATGTGAGCGGTCTTAATAAGAGCAATGGTAGCGAAAACAATAATTTTTAGGAATGGTTTTGTCTGTTTGTCTGTATGTTTGTTCCGAATTTACACAAAAATTACTGCACTAAATTCAGTGCGGTTTTATTCCTGAAGGTCTATCTTAAAAGCTCATGTACGTTTCATCTAATAATAGTCTAGTTCAGTGATCTTCCTTCTTCTGAAATACACGCTTACGAAGTGGCTTGCATAAAGTTAGTAAAATGTATATTTATTAAAATAGAAGATAAATACCTAATCTTTGTTCAAATAGACCTGTTTACAAGCTCTTTTAAATCATCAATTTTTCACGATTACGAGAAATGTAGACTGTATTCTCTCTGTCTACCCAAAAGAGAAACTATCGCAATGATAGCAGACGTAATACTGGTAAAAAATATTTTTATTAGAATGATTTAGAACAGAAATAATTTATATTCGAATATCCTTGTTTGACTTGTTTATAAGCTCTTTTAAATTATAAATCTTTCATGATTCCAAGATTCAAGGGGGGGGGGGGGGTGAGGTAAAGAGGTTTCTTCAGGGTCGGCAACGCGCGCGTAATTCCTCTGGTATTGCAGGCGTTCATAGGCTACGGTAACGGCTTACCATCAGGTGGGCCGTATGCTTGTTCGCCACCTCAGTGGTATAAAAAAAAAAGATTTTTATTAGAATGGATTAGAATACAAAATATTTATATAAATTTTTCATGATTTTATATATATATATATATATATATATATATATATATATATATATATATATTCTTTATTACACATTCTTTATTGCTTAAAATAATGTATTTATAAATGTTGTGAGCAAGGATAGACTTATCTCTGACAGAGATCTCTTCCAGTCGACCCAGACTGTAGACAAAATGTAGACTGTATTCTCTCTGTTTACCCAATCTAATCAGTAATCTAACGCAATAATAATTAAGTACAATTTAATATTAACATAACTATCAGCGAAATAGATTTTCATTTCAAATTCATGAAAGTTTCACCGTACGTAAACCCTGAACGCCTCCACACGATCTCGACCAATGAAATACACGTGATGCAAAGGTCACACCGTTACATAGCGTACCAGGAACTGTAACTTACGAATACATATCAGTAATGGGACAAAGCTTTCGGAAAGCTCCATTCATCACATCTCTATCGCATACTATTCAATACATACAACCTCGTGCTGTCATTGGACGCCGCGCGGGAACTTTCACTTTCGTATGAGGCCTACATAGTTTGAATAACATATGCCGCGTTCCCATTGGCCGATTTAACTTTGACCTTTGCTCTGATTGGTCCGTATGTGCCATGTACCGGTTATTTACGGAAATAATATACTAGTTACGTATTTCCGTAGGCGTAGACAGTTTACCACTTTGGTTATAAGTTTTACGTTACCCGATTATAATTCTTAGAACGTGAACGCTAGGAGTGTTATTTAAATGACGCAAAGGTGACTAGTTCAATAGGAAATATCTATTATTAATGTTGAGATTAGATAACGACTCTATGTAATCAATTATTAAAGTATACAATAGAATAAAACGTTGCCTGATTACAATGGTGATAAATCACTTAAGTGTATTAAACTTATTAAAAGATACAAGGCTTTAGAATTAAATTATTTCATATAAATAGATACATAATATAATATATATACATGTTATGTCCATGGTACTGCTCATGTCTATAGGCGACGGTTACCACTTACCATCAGGTGGGCCGTCAGCTTGTTTGCCATTCTAAATTGTATAAAAATATATATAAATATATATATACATACCTACTTTTTTGTCATTATATTAGCTATACACTGCTGAACCTAGGCCTCCGCAGTAAGGGGGGGGGGGCGGTCCTAGTACCATAGTTGCCATGCTTGGCAAGCGAGTTGGCAATCGCAATTAGTCTTTGGTGATGTTTAAGAAGGACGCTGCTGCCCATCCCTCGACCATTGACCTTGTTACGTACTTACTTATATAAGACGCCTACTTTTTTTAAAGGCTATGAGCATTTATAGACCACGGGGTCATGAGTTCGAATCGGGCAAACAATAAACACTATGTGCCAATTTAAAGTTAACAACTAACTCCCGGCGATGGATAATAGCGTTAACAAATCAAATTAAGTTAAATAATGATGAGCTTATTAAAAGGAACAGGTACTTGTCGAATGTTAAATTAACCATAATGTCAACAGTCGACAGCTTCTGTCTACCCCATCTGGGATTATAGTCGTGAGTTATTTATTGTAACCGCATTTTATTTTAATTATATACAACTGCTATTTTAAGTATTATAAAAGCTATTTTACATCACCATCACCCGATCACCACATTAGTCATTTACCAAAAATATCGTCTAATTTTTTTTTCACAATGTTGAATGACAAACAAGCTGACGGCCGACCTGATGGAAAGTGGTAAATATTACTTAAAGACTCGAACAGCACCTTTACAGAATACACTCTGTTATGGCATAGACATATGCCATTCCAGAGGTCTATGGTATTTTTTTGAAAATGGAATGGTAACCCCGCCTGCGCTGTCGGTATACACCGGCGGGGCACCAGTGAAGGATGATAGATGAGGATGAAGTAGGTCAGTTAGCCCATTGTGACGAATTCAACAACAATTGTTCACGATAGTTTCCAGGAAAGACCACGTGGAGGTCGACCTGGTAGGGCATATTGCCAGCAATGGGGCTGTCAAACTCCATTGCTAACAATTTCCTTCCACGTAGAAATGTGGTATTATGCCTACATAACCTATAATTTCCCATCAAACCGAAACATAACCGTGCAATCACATGCTTAACGAGAAACACGAATGGGACAGAAATACCCAAGCAGTGCTTTTGTATACAGTCTCTTTCTGATAAATACTAACATATAAATTTTCTTTTCAGTTTGCAAACTAGACAAAATAAGTGGAACGTCAAATATTGCAAAGGTATGTTATTTTTTTTTGTTTTTTTTTTATAAAACTTAGAATACGAGTTATACATACACATAATGTTATCAGAGATTTGAAAGCGTAACTGTTGAGTTTCTTGCGGACTCTTCTCAACAGATAACAACCTTCCGAACCCTGCAGTAGATTAAAAAACAAATGACGATTTAAAAGTGTTCGTAAACGAGTCTATTTGAAAAAAGACGACTTGAATTTGAAAATTGTAAAGATATATTGCCTTATTTTCGTATTTATTTTAAATTTTAAATCTAACACAAAAGATTTTGTATAGGTATCCAACTTTATAACTTACCATCCTGTCTTCTCGTGTCACGATGTTTGTTACCAAACTCCTCCGAAACGGCTTTACCGATTTTTATGAAATTTTGTGTGCATATTGGGTAGGTCTGAGAGTCGGCCAACATCTATTTTTCATACCCCTCAATGATAAGGGTGACCCACCCTTAAAAAATTTTTGTTTATTTTTTTGACAATTTTTTTTTATTTTTATTTAAACATGATTTAGCATTGAAAAATACATACAAATTTGCAAGATGACAATTGAATATAATAATTGTAGTACGATATATTCTCATGTATAGTTATAAAAACGTTTACTGGATCAGCTAGTAAATATATAATAATAATAAAAAAAAACTGTTTTCCAACCACATTTCTGTATCACAATAGCACCTAACTTACTCGTAGCTCCAATCCGATATTCCATCAGTTTCACCAGTCTTCATTTTGTATTGATCGGCGCTTTACTTTGGCTGTATATCCCTCCTCTCTGAATTGCAAATGGGTTTTATTTGATAAAGAACGATAGGTATTTTTTTTTTATTTATGATTTAATAGATACTAAAGATGTTTGGTATAGTTAGAAATTAATAATTTACAGATTAATTTTTTTTTTATACAACTTAGAATGGCAAACAAGCTGACGGCCCACCTGATAGAAAGTGGTAACCGTCGCCCATAGACATAAGCAGTACCATGGACATAACAGAGTATACTGTATCGCCCATGATACCCCCCATGCGTTGCCATACCTGAGGACTCAGGTGTTGTTCTTCTGTACCCTGTAAATTCACGCCATATCCCACCCTTCAAACCGAAACACAGCCATGCAAACACAACTGCTTCACGGTTGAAACACGAATGGGACAGAGGTACCCAAGCAATCGACATTCTTACAAAGTCTCCCTCTGGTTTTATATATTTAAAATGAGTGTCTATTAAAAGTGCATTTAATCATTTATTAAAATTATTTTAATAAATTATTTATTATAAAATATATAAATATTATGTAATTAGAGAGTAATCGAATATTACATACTACACAATTAAAAAAATGTGATCAAATTATTATGGGTATTTTTTTTGTACCACAAAGGTGTTAAATTAGCATACAGCCCGTCTGATGGTAAACGATCACTGTAGCCTATAAACGCCTGTGACTAGAGGTGTCACGTGCACGTTGCCAACCCAGATGAACCCTTAATACACCCTTTTTTAAAACCCCCATACTAAATTTATTTTATTAATCTTTTCAACAAAATTCATTTCAGCGCTCACTAGCGCCATTTCGCGCCAATTAAGGTTTTTTTTTTTGATAGGTGAAAATGGTATGGTAACCCCGCCTGCGCTAACGGGATACGCTGGCGGAGCACCAGTGAAGGGTGATCGACGAGAATGAAAGCAGGCCAGTTAGCCCATCATGATAAATTCATCAGGAATTAACCATGATAATTTCCAGGGGGAACCACGTGGAGGTTGACCTGATAGGGCATATTGCTAGCAATGGGGCTGTCAAACTCCATTGCTAACAATCCCTCTCCCCCCTTTCATCTCCATCTTTTCAACAAAATTCATTTCAGCGCTCACTAGCGCCATTTCGCGCCTAAATTTAGGTATTTTAAATGACATTGTATCTTACCTAAAATATTTCAATTTAACATTCTTTTAAATAAAAACATAATTTGACAATATCGATATTGATAAGGTCATATCACTGAATGCACTGGCAACTGACACCGCTAAAGTCATCTAAGCCATTTACTGAAAAGTTCATCTTGCCGAGCGCATAAACAATGAAGATACTGTAGATTTTTGTATTACAGTATAATACTTCGCTAATTAAGAGTCGATTGTAGATAAGTTAGGTCGTAACCCGCGATAGCTGACACTAAGCTAGATAAAAGTCTAAGTTTTAGACTTTTTCAAGATAACGCCGCCATTTTGATGTGGCGTGTAATTATAAACATTGCAAATGGCGGTGCGGTTAACGGAACAAATCAATACCTACACACACACACACACATATATGCACACAAGGAAACTGTCGCCATATGAAAGGCTAAGTGTGCTGACGTTGCCATTTCTAACGTTAGTTGCCCACTGCTCAATTTAGACCTACCTCATTTTTAATAAATGATATTTTTTTAATGGATGACAATAATGGTCAAACCCGATGAGAGATGATAAATGAGGATAAAAAGGCAGGTCAGTTGGCCCATCGTGATGAATACACCTGGAATTTGTTGAAGTTTTAATACTGGCTGTTGACACTGAGGGTTTTTAGAACTATGTATTATTTTTAAGTTTGTTCTGTGTCAGATTTTTATAAGACATATCTCTGGTTTTTTTTTTTTTTTACTAAACTTATTATTTTATATCTCAAATACATATATGTTTTATTACTGAATCCTGCTTTTTACAACAGAGTTCAGCACGATGGTTTGATGGTTTGAGGGCAGACCACATAGAGCTTGACCTGGTTGGGTATTTTACTAACAATTGAGCCCTAAGTCTCCATTACTAACAATCCCTTCCCCCCATTGAATGATATTGTGAAATGGTAACCCCGCCTGCACTATCAATATACGCTGGTGATGTACCACTGAAGGAGGATAGGTGAGGATAAAAGCGGATTAATTAGTCTATCGTGACGAGTTCGCCAATAATTAATGACGTTGAGATCGACCTGAGAGAGTATACTGCTCAATACAATTCCTGCCCCGCGGCTTCTCTCGTTGACCTCTATAAGGAACAATTCTAAGCCACCTAAATTAACTGATTCCTTGTAATATTTAAATTAAGACTTATTGTACATTTATAATATTAGTAAAGACATGTAGTTTACTTTTTTTTATGTAACTTAAAATGGCATCCAAGCTGACTGTCCACCTTATGGAAAGTGGTAATCGTCACCTATAGACATGAACAGTACCATGGACATAACAGAGTATACCGTTTCACCCATGATACTTTCGTTGCCATTCCTGAGGACTCAGGTGTTATGCCTCTGTATCCTGTAATTTCATTGCCATATTCCACCCTTCAAACTAAAACACAGCCATGCAAACACACCTTCTTCACGGTAGAAACACGAATGAGACAGCAGTACCCAAGCAGACAATTCTTGTGCAGTTTCCTTCTGGTTTTAGTGATAGTTCATATATTATAAAGCTGAATTATTTAATGGTACGTAATTAAATTAAGTCAATGAACGCGGCCATTCAAGTAACTATTGTATGTTGTATGTGTTTGTATGGATTTTTAGAGACACGTGTAGCCTAAATGAATAGAATGCCGTTCGCATTATTTGTTCAATACTCGTAGGCCATATGACTAGTGTAAAGATAAATATGGCGGCGTAAATTGTAAAAAGTGGTGAACTTTTACATCATAACCTTCATGGGAAAAGTGTATTCCTTTTTAAAAGGCCGGCAGAACATGTGCAATGCCATTGGTGTTGCGGGTGATCATAGGCGGCGGTAGTCACCATCAGGTGAGCTTGCTCGTTTGTCTACTGTGTTGTAAAAAAATCGAGCCTTTTACCTTTTTTTTCATGAAACTTGCAATGGAAAACGATTTGTTGGTCCAGTCGATGGAAAATGGAAACTGTCATCTATAAACATGAGACTACATGACATACATAGTAGATTTCCGTAATGCGTTAAATTCCTGAGGAATTCCTAAAGCTACATTTATTTATTTATTCTTTATTGCACAATAAAACTTTGTACAAATGGCGAGCTTAATGCCATATGGCATGCTCTACCAGCTAACCATTGGGTAAAAACAGAAAGCGTATGAAGGGCAGGTGTGGTGAAAAATATGTGACAATTATAGTAACACATTAAGGCAATACACAATATAAATATAATATACACATAAGAAATGCACATATAATACATAAACATTACTTTTAATATATATATATATATATATATATATATATATATATATATATATATATATATATATATATATATATATATATATATTGTTAAACCACGGTCGATCGACTCTGAGAGGCAGCAATATGTGTGATGCAGAATTGTCGTCTAGGTAGGGCGTAAATAATATAAAATAAATAAATCACTTTGTAAATGTATATGTATATGTGTATATTTTATTTATATACAAATTAGAATGGCAAACAGGCTGACGGCCCACCTGATGGAAAGTGGTAACCGTCGCCTATAGACAAGAGCAGTACCATCCATAGACATAACAGAGTATACTTTTACTGAAAACCACGAGGGAGGGGGAGGGGATAAGGAAAGATTGTTAGTAATGTGGACTACCAGTCCCAATTGCTAGCAATAACCTTGTCAGGTCGACCTCCACGTGAACCCTTCTAGAAACATCGTGCTAAATTCCAGGTGTATTCATCACGGTAGGCTAACTGACCTACCTTTTCATCCTCATCTATCATCCCTCACTGGTGCCCCGTCAGCGTATACCGTTACAAGAGGTGTAACCATTCCATTATCATCCATTAAAAAAAGAACTAGAGGACACCGTACCAGTGGACCAGTGTTAGCATAGCAAGGGGGGTTACCCTAGCATTATCACACATTAAAAAAAATTGCTAGTTCTAAAATAAACAATTTACTGATAATTTGATAGTTACATAGCACGCTTATCAGTTGCCAAGTCAACGATAAGCTCAGGTCTAAAGTTTTTTTTTTATACCACTTAGAATGGCA